AGACGTTGGACCAGGCTGCCCAGGGAAGTGGTGGAGTCCCCATCCCTGGAGGTATTTAAAAGCTGGGCAGATGAGCTGCTTAGGGATGTGGTTTAGTGGTGGGATAGCAGTGTTAGGTTAATGGTTGGACTTGATGATCTTAAAGGTCTTTTCCAACCTAAACAATTCTGTGGTTCTATGATTCTGCACAGTGTTCTTTATCACAGCTCCTTGTCCAGAGTGTCAAGAAAATAACTTTATTGGGACTGCCTCAGGAAAAGAATTGAAACTGCAACTGTTTTGTTCAGCTGATGGAAGTGAATATTTAACTTTAGAAGGATTCTTGAAAGTTAGGTGATACTGCAGTGCATGATCTGTCCCTGGAAGTTCAGCAGTAGATTTTCTGTCTTGCAGGGCTTGCCACCTTTTCAAGTCAGTTTGTATTCTGTATAATTCTAGCTTTTCTGACTTCTTTGAATCTAAAAGGACTGGATTTCTTGCTGAAGGAAAGTTGAACAAAAGATGAAAGAAAGCATTACGATAGTTTTATAAACCCACTTTTTGTGTTGATACGCATTCATTCACTCTTTCATTCTTTGCGCCTCCTTCTAAAATCCAGAGCAAAAACCCAACAAAATATGTTGAATGAGACTTATGGTATGAAGACTTTGGGAGGGGGTGGGATTTGGTCTCTTTAGGAAAGTTGAGTGTTGAGGTAACCATTACTTAGGTACCGCTTTTGGAAACTAGAATAATTGTTGCTATTCCATCACCAGTCTGGTGACGGCTTATTATGCAATACTATCTCTGCTGTTGTGGTGTATGTCCTTGGGCTAAACTTGCTGTACAGACAGAAACACTAAAACAAACAAAACATTGAGATTTGGGGTGGTTTTCCTCTTAAATGCCTCTGTTGCTTTCCATTTTTAAGTCTAATTACTTGCTTTATGAGAAAGCGCTGAAATTTGAATTCCTTAGTGCTTGAGAAGCTAAACATACTTGCAGTAAACAATTTTCTTACCTACCAATCAAGGGGTTTGATTTATTTGGGGTTTTTTTTTGTTTGTTTGCTTTTAAAGTAGAAGCAAAGACAACTTTCCTCTGGAGGTACTAGATTACATCTGTGAAAAAAAGCTTTACAACAGTCTTGTGCTGCTCCTTTTATTGTCATGAAAGCAAGTACGACCACCTTCTTTACACAACAGTTTTGGGAAGTCCAATCTCCTTAAAGCTTTCTCCTTTTTTGCTAGTGCCATGGGGGTCTGTTTTATTTAATGTCTATCTATTTCTTCAAGATACAGCTGTTTTGGCTGCTTACTACAGTTGCAATGTGTTTACAAGGTGAAGTGTTAACTGCTGTTGAGGGACTTTTGCACTGAGCCAGATCCTGACATGGAAAATGAAACATCTGATTGTCTGAATATTTTTTTGATTTTTATTAAAAACATTTTACTTACGAGTTGTCTTCCTCCCAGTCTCAAATCTTCTTGCCTCATTTGATCTGCAGTTAAAAGTTCATCCATTTGTGATATCTTACTCATTGCTATGACAACAGCCTGCCAAACAGACTTTAATATGAGGAATTGGAGAAAATAAGAAGCTGCTTTGTGAGCAAAGAAATGTTCTTGGTCAGCCCCATCTTATTAATTAGTAATATCCCATGTAATGCTCAAAATTGTAGTCTCTATGGTAATTTGAAGGCAGTGGCTATCTGCCTCCTTTCTGCCTGGCGTGGTAGGGGGTGAAGGCTTGGCCCGGCGCGGGGAAGGTGTGCTGCTGCCAGGGAGGTGCAGTGCTTGCCTGGTCAGTGCACCGTTGGCGGCGGCGGAAAGCCCTTCAGCTCTCCTCGTGTGCATGGGGCTGGTCTGGTCACTGTGTCTGGACACTGCGTGTAGATAGCAGGAGCCAACTAGGGGGAAATAAAATAGCTTTATATTGAAAGCTTGCTTTCTGTCAAGCTGTGGGGTTTTTTTGTGCTTTTAAGAAGACTGGGTTGTGTCTGAAGTGGATTATAACATGTCCAGGTTGGCTTGATGGGGAATGTCAAACTAAGGGTGTGTTTCCACACTTGCCTGAAGCAAGTCCATACTGCTGCCAGGAAGAGGCTCTTGCCTTTGCTGGTTTTCTGCTTTGGACCTGTTGCCAAATTGTGCTGCTCACAGGCTGCACGGTCAGCAAGATGAGGATCTTCAAAGATCCCGTTATACATTCACGTTGTTTGGCTCTGTTCCCACCAGCAGGCTGATCTTGCTGTGCCACTTCATCCCTCGGGAGTGTTTCAAACGTTTGTATGCCTGCCTTTTTCCTTAACGTATCCTTTCATCCTGAAAAGCAAACGTGGCTTAAAGAGCTGTGGCACAGAGTCACTGTAAAATATGTGTTAGGAGAGGGAGAAAATACACAGCCCTCATCAGGTACCATAGGTTGCCTGGCTATGAGCAATGTAAGCTATAGTTCAGCATGCGCTTTACAAATAGACAGAAAACTCTTTGTTTTAGCATGAGTGTACTGCACTCATGTCCAAAACATGGATTGCAATATTTTGACTAGCTTTGGTGAGATTAGAGAAAATAGCACTGAAATGTATGTCAGAATTCCTAAGTACCAGAATCTGTATAAACATAATCTGATGTTAATTCAGAAATGATGAACAAATTGAGACCCAATAGAGTTATAATTTCTCAATGTATCTTAAATCACAGTGGGCTAATTCCAGACAATCATATTTGAAACTATTAGCTTGTCTTTCAGAGCAGTTAGTGTTCTTTGTCATATTCTCTGTTCAGAGCTTCTTTTCATTGCTCATTGTGCTAGGTTCAAATCGGAGTGAGCTGACCAATAGTTAAAAAAAACCCAGCAAACAACCTGAAGGTCATTGTTAGTCTATATAAATTTAAGTTTTTAGATGTTGGCAGTCCAGTCATCAAGGCTTATAAAGCAGATTTTAACACAAACAGCAAAAGTAATTTCTGCTGCAAACTCAACTGAAGACTGTCCATAAGGTGTTTAAAATATCAGTGGACAGCCATGACCACCAGATAGTCGGTGATAAGCGTTGAACTTCCTGTTCAGGAATATGTAATACTTAATTAATACTAATATTTTGCTTTTCATAGAACATGTTGTCACGAGCTTGAATAACCTGTGTTTGGACTGCATCTGGCTTTAAGAGTATCAAGTGCAGTGCTCTGAAGGCTTGTGTGTTCTGGGACTTAGAGGACAACAAAGTTAGACTGCCTTAAGAGACTGGGAGACAGATTGGCTTTGGTGAATATATTCATAAAGCTGGAGAAACACAGTGTTCCAGATCAGCTCATACTACAGTCACTTCCTGGTAAAGGCAGGCCTTTTCTTGTTAAATATGTAAGAGTTCATGGACATATACTTTCTTCTCAGACTTTATTGAATGCTTTAACTGGCACATAACGAAAGTCAATGTTGGGGTTCAATTTTGGCCAACAAAAATGTATTTCTAAAGTGAAGAAGAGATTTAGATGATAATGGGGTTAATTGATTCTAGAAGAGGCTCCTGAGCATCTTGAATTAATGTTTAAACTGAAGCATCTCATTGCAACTTTAACTGTTGAGTACTCGTTATTTGTGAATGCTAGTGAGCACTTGGGTATTGAACACATCCTTGTCCATGCAATCATAGCAGTATGCTCAGTTTTCATCTGAACATTATCGTGCATTGAACTCGGTGCTAGCCAAATCGCACCAGAGCTGCTGTCCTGACAAGTTTGAGCTGAGGCATGTTCATACATTCGGGCTGCAGTAAAACAACTTTGCTGCTTGTTTGCACATCTCCTTCTGCCCAGGTGCACCACTTGTAGGTTGTCCTTCGTTCCCTAGATTTTCAGTTTTACTTCCTGGTGTCATGAGGACAAAAACCAAGCAGTTGACCATGACCATTCTGACCAGTTTGAGAGATCTGTTTCCAGTTATCATAGATACTATAAACCATACTCATCAATTAGCTGTGTGTTAGGTGCCTTACAAACACAGGGAGAATAATAAATTTCTTGTTTCAAATTAACTTTAATGTTAGTGGATGAATGAGAATGAAAGCTGACTGCCACAAACAGGATAGCACTGATGTGTGTATGAGGTTTGGGGTTTTTTTGGGGTTTCTTTGTTGCCATAAGGCAAAGGTATGTTTAAAGCAGGGTAAGAGGTAGTTTTGTAAATAATTTCTGTAGTTATGAGGGAGAACAAAACAAAAATACTGGCAACAGAGGCTGAATTTAAAGGCAAGCATCATCATTTCTCTTACGTATGAGAGGTGAGAAGCAGCGTGGGTGTTGGCCACAACCTCCATATATGTGCAGGAAAGCAGTTTGATGGTAGGGGAAGAGAGGAACTGACTAGTTTGTCAATGTGATTTTTGCATTAGCGTTCTGAGTGGCTATGAGAGTGGTTAAATTCCAGGCATCAAAACAAGACAGTAGGTATTATAGAAATTTAAGGAGTGATACAGCTGGAGCTGGAATTTCAGCAGAGTAGCAGATAAAAAAGTCTGTATATTAAATAACTGGAAAAGGCTGTGAGATTTAGATGTCTGGAAGTAGAGATCTAGACAGATCCCAGTCAGCTGACAAAAATGCTTTTTATCCGCTGCATTTCCTTCTTTACTGTAAAGACTGCAATAAATCCAATAGTAGTGTATTAAAGCTGCTTTCTCAGGAGTCTCTGTATAGAGTTCGTGGTAAAGGTAGGAAAAGTTCAAGCTACTGCATTTGTCTATTATCTGGGTATTGAATCAGTACCCTGCCTTAACTCATGCTCCGGTTTTTGTTTTTTGTTGTGTTTTTTTTTTTTTTCCAGATTTTCTATTTTGTACATACATTGTTTTGTATATACTGTATATGATGACTTCGGTGGGCAGTGAACGTACCCGGGGCACTCGGGACAAAACGCAAATTTCAACCACACAGCCAACACAACCACAGAAACAAGTAGTACAGGTACGTGCTACTATATAATCTTATTTGAGTTGAAAGTGAGCATGTAATGATATGCAGTTCTTCCCTAAGTCAGTAAAAACTGGGAAAAGATGGGGGGAAAAATCAAGGCCTATTTTGGAAGAGTTTGTCTGATATCTCACTTTAATTGCTTGGTAATTCAGCACAGCATTAAGTTGTATTCTTGCCTCTAAAGGGGCTTTGTGTTCTTCAGCAACATTTCCCATCAGTGAGGAATACTATGCCTATGCCTGTGTCAGGATATCTGTCCTGTGACCTGAGTGTTCTCAGACCTCAGCTCGTCCATATGCCAGCTTCATGATGCTAGAAGATTTCTGGTTGGTAGAGAAATTTGGGTGGGTAGGAAGAGCTTCATTAGATGCATGCTGTGTTCTACAGCATGAATCAGCATATCTGCAAGTCATAGAATCCTAAAATTCTTGTGCAATGTCCTCAAAGTGAAGTGAAGGTGGTCATCCGCTAGCAGACTAAAATTATTTTTAATATCAGCAAGATTGAAATTAAGCTCTTACCCCATTGTATTGATTCTCAGCAGCTGAGTAGTTGTGTGCTTGTCTGGGCTACAGAGAGTGCAAAATGTCTCTGCCCCTGGCAACTCGTTATGTCAGATAATTCTCAAAATTGGACTCAATTCAAGAATTGCCTCAGTTCTCTGCTGGCAGAGAGTGCACCAGTCTAGAGGTGCTCTCTTGGGAAATTGTGTCTTACTGTTTTGTAGACTGATCTTTAACATGAAGGGGCTCTTGTTCTGTTTTGTACTGATTTTTAGTACTAGTATTAATTATGTGAGCTTAAGCCCTTACCTCCTTGCACTGCAGCACTTTGCATAGTCGTGATTCATGCTAATGTGTGGATTTAGAAAGTGACTTTCAACAGATGAAGTTGAATTTGGTTTTGTTTTATAAACATGTAAGGCTGCAGGAATGTAGTGAGCACGTTGACAGAAGTGGTAGTTTCGCCTTTTTTGACATTTGCAAGACAGCAGTGGAGTGCTTTGCCCAGTTTTGAGTTCCCTAGCACAAGGCAGACATTGGGAGATGGGAGCAAGCCCAGCGAAGAGCTGCAGAGATGGCTGGAGCGCAGGATGAATAAGGGCTGGCTCAGGGAACTGCGTTTGTTCAGCCCTAAGAAGGCAAGGCAAGGGTTGTAGCCTCATGAAATGTAGAAAAGTTGTAGAAAAGGTGAAGCCAGACTCTTCTCAGGGAGACAATGGCACAAGTTGGAACACTGGAAATTCCATCTGTTAAAAGGAAAAAAATTGTTTACCATGAACACAGTCATGGATTAGAGAAGTTGTGGGATCTCTGTCTGGCCCCAAGCAGCTCCTCTGATGGGACATGCTCTCGGTGAGAGGTTACACTGAGTTGTCACTGGAGGACCTTTCCAACCAATGTGATTCATTGTAAGACTTAATGCTTATAATCAGACCTTTAACTATGTTTTGTCTGCTTACTCTACTTCTTGCATAGTAGATAGTGTTTGGTCAATTCAGTGGAAAAGATGATTGTTTAATATACAGCAATTATGTTTTAGTGCATCACTTTATTGCTTATAGATATCAGATGGATCTTCCTGCATAGTCAGGCTTTAAAGATGAACAGAATTGTGTGGGATTCTACTGTTTAATCACCACTGGTTGATTTTTCTGAATGTAGAATAATCTTGCTTTCCCAAATGGAGATTTCATTGTCATAATATCACATGATCATTGTTTAAGTTATTAAAAAAATTACATCACAATTCTTTTGCATTGCTTCTGGATAATAAATATACTATTTCATTATAGATCTGGGCCTATTACTGTCACTTAATTTTATGTTTTGCACACTTCTGTTTTCTAATAGTTCAAAGTTGTTAGTTAAAAATTTCCTTCACTCTGTTATGCCATAAAGATAGTATATCTTGTAAGGTTGAGTAAAGTTTTAGCTGTCTTAAGATGCTTCTATTGTCTTAGATGCAATTAAAACTTAATTATACTCTTTTATAGGATACTACAGTGTTACTTGTAAGGACGATGCCTTAAAATAAAGAAGAAGCACTCGCTGGGAAAAAAACAAAACCTTTTGTGACATTGATTTGGTGTTTGTGTAGTAAACGCATCTTGTGGGTTTTTGTGGTTGTTTTTTTCTTCTGAATCTTCAGTTCCATCTGGGTGTAATCCACTGGCATAAATACTAGCGATATGTCACCTACTTGTGTTTCTAAGCTCTCTGCTTACACAGGAAAACTGAAGCTACTGTCACACATTTGTAATTGTTATAAAATTGGTATATTATTTTTCTTCTAACATGGACTTGAAAAAAAGTTGGTTTATAGAAAAAATGAATCTTAATGGCTTCCTCTTTCTGGCGAAGTATGCTGTCATGTCTCTACAGAAATTTCATTGTCTGAATGTTTTTACTTTGGATATCTTTAAAGGAAATCTCTTCACTAGCTTAAAAGTTGCAGTGGGCCTGAAGAGGCTGAAATCAGAGCGAGAAGATGCATCAACAAAGCTTAATTCCTGAAACCAGCAGACCTTTTGTTTTGCTCTCTGCTGAGCTCTCGTCAAACACCAAGAAAGAGCTACTTTGCACAGAGCACCAAGAAAAGAGCTACTTTGCACAGAGCACTGCACTGACCAGGAGGCTTTCATGGAGGGTGGCACCAGGGCTGGCATGCGGAATTCCAGAGCAGGCTCTCATCTATGTTACTGGCTGACGTATGAAGCTGTCAGCATGACACTTTGAAAATGTGAAGTAGCGCAGAGTGCTTAACTCTGTTACAAATGCTAATTGTCTTGGAACCTCGCCTCTGAGCACAGCAAATGTCACTTCCCTCAAGGAACTGGGAGAACTGCAGTAACTTTGCAGCAAATAAGCAGCTGGTGGTGTACGGTGGAGTAATATTTAGACTCTGCTCAGCATTACACTTGGCGACCTCCTCTAGAGCTTGTATTTGCGGGAAACTCCAAAAGCAAAGCAGTTTGAGGCTGATTAAGTCTGAACTATTGAGGCACAGAATTTCATGTGGGTACCCTTTGAAGTGAGACTTCGAAAGGTGAGATTTAACCAGCTGCCCAGGATGAATCCTTTCTGTCAAGAATTTCAATGGATGAGGTGGTCCCCTTCTCAAGTGATAAGTCGTCTTCCGCAGCTCGTGTTTTGGGTCCTGGCTCTCTTCAGTGTCGGCCCTCTTTAGCATGAGACAGTAGCCTCTTCTGTTTGAGCAGAAATCAAATTGTGTCCAGGATCATGTAGCATACAGTTATCTTTGGTATTTTCATGGGAGTGCAGTTCAAGTAGACTGCAAATACCACATTATGAAGAGTGGTCCGTATGATGTGACATTAGTGTTCTTGAGTTGCTTTCTCTCGGGGCCAGCCATAGCCTATTTGGATTTATGGCACTGTACTGCATCCATTCATTTTTCAGCTTTTGGAGAAGTTGCCAGCATGGATTTGTGGTCCAGAAACATTACAGAAGCACCAAATATTACATCAATAGCAAGACCCTTTAGCAGTTTTCAGAGACTAGTATTTGCTTATAAAGGAAATAGGTGCAGCTGTTCATGGGCAAAATCTTGAGGCATGACTCAGTGTCTTTTTAAGTGCTCATAGAACTACAGTCAGGTTGTTGATGGGCGAGTCATGGAAGGTGATGTGAGCAGGAATCATCAGAGATGTTGTTAATTTAGAAATACCGTTGCCAGTTTGTCATGATAAAACTCTGGAGTGGTATATACTAAATAAAAGTAACAATATTGAAGCGTAGGCTTCTGTGGTAAATTCTATTTTATTATATGGTTGTCTTGTCTATGTGCTGACCTTTAATTGTGGTTCAAACACATTAAAACGTGTCGAAATTGCTTCTGTCCCAGCTAACTTTTTAACTATAAAATGGGCATAGAGGAGGTGTTAATCCCTTCCCCATAGCACCTCTGTGCTTGCTGTGTATGTTCCTTTTGAGAATCTGGAGAAAAAAAATCTACTGACACTAGCAGATACTTTAAAAAACTGTATTGTTACCTTTTGTGTACTTTATTGGATGTTTGCGTTTTTCAGGCAACAGCAGAACAGATTCGCCTTGCTCAGATGATCTACGATAAGAACGACGCAGATTTTGAAGATAAAGTGAAACAAGTATGTTTCTTATGGTACAGAGTTTTTGTGCCCTGTAATAAGGTGCTCCAAATCTGGCTTACATTTTGGAGCTAGAGCTTCTGTTTCTGATTTAGCTGAAACCTTTTTCAGAAGGACGTAAGTTTAACTAGGAAAAGGTGCTCTTACTGCACTGTAAAGTCTGTTTGCAAGAAATTATGTGGTAATACAGCTCTGGCTGTATAGTTACACCGGTGTATTTCCCTTTGTAGACAAGCCTTTAAGCCAAAACTCATCTGTCCTGATGTCTCTTCCAGACTGTATCTCTCTAGTGTGATCCTGATGCTTAATGATCGTCAGAATAAAGAGTGCATTCAGCTTGTCCACATGTACATGCACATGGGAACAAGATGTCACCTGTGTAAACTGAGTTTGCTAATATCTTGGCTGTTTTTCAGGAAAAGTAAACTCTAATCATAGCTTAAAGGTGAATTGAAGTGTTATTCTAAAAAAAAAAAAAAATCTCATGTCGCAGATCCATGTATGCATTCATGTGATAGAATTACACTGTGAAAATGAAATCTTGCACCATTTCCTCTACCATGCTGAGTTTCGGGTGTAGATGCTTAAGCTTCTATTGCCCAATTATAGCTGAGACCATTAATTTGAGCAGTACTGAGAATCTGGGTCCCTGTTCTGCTGTGGGTATTGGTGATTTTGTCCTAGTGAACACATCACAACTCACGAAGAACCTAGGAGCACACCCAGGAGGAGACAACAGTTAGCATGAATGCATTAATGCAGCAGAGGAACAGATTTCTTGATTTCTTTTCCTTTGTAAAACCTCCTCTGAAGCACTGAGTGCTTTTTGTTGTCCTTGTTACAAACTTGTTCTGTTGCTATGCCAGAAGTAAGGTCTTGTGCTTCCGGAAGCCAGAGGACCCTCATCAGTAGTGCCTGTAGCTCTGCTGGTGGGAAAGAGAAGAATTAAGTTCTTCATAGAAAATCTCCAATATTTTACATTGTGCATATATATTTCTAGCTCATGTTGGTTGTTTCCTTTGAGTGAAGTTGCTGGATGTGTCCCATGACAGACTTCTGATTATTTCCATCCCACACTGCTCAGGATCTTCACCACAGGTCCACTGAGCACAATTCAGTGCTAGGTCTCCTTAAGCAGCCATCGGTTATGCCTTTTGTGTGGCCTTATGTAGAAATGGATTGAGGGAGCTGATCTGCTGAAAAAAAAGCCTTTTTCTTAGTCTGGATATTTTTTTGGATTGATCTGTTCTCTGATGTGACTTACCTTATGTCTGTTCTCACACAGTGGGATAGAGAGAGGGATGAGAGTGGGGAGGGAGAGTACAGTACTGGAGCTATCCTGGTCTTTTACATCTTTACCCTCATATACTGCTTTTTCTGGGGTGACTGCATTTGCTGCAAGCATAAAAGAAAAAAAGAGGCTTTCTTGATTACCATTTAATTTGTGTTTCATCCTGTCTCTTGTCTGAATCCTAAGCAGATCTGTAAAATGAGGATAACTTTATTTAGGATTTTACTTTGCTCTGACACACTGGCTATTTGCTTTCTTGGAATCTGCAGTGGTACTAAATCTTATTTTCTTATGATAATTTAGATATTTTAACATGTCTGACTTTTACTGCCAGCTTATGGAAGTGACGGGGAAAAACCAGGATGAGTGCATAGTGGCACTACATGATTGTAATGGGGATGTGAACAGAGCAATCAACATACTGCTGGAAGGAAGTTCAGACACGGTAAGGCTTTACTTTCATGTTAAACTGCTCTTTCTGTTTGCTGCATCTTTCTACTTCTCAGAAGTGATTGGCAAAGTGATTCGTATTTCGGAAGCTTTCAATTTCCATGTCTCCATTCATATTCTTTTGAAGGAAATGGAGACGTGAGCAGCTTCTCTACTGCATGCATGCCTTAGAGTAGGCTGTACCTTGAAAATGTTGTGGGTGTTCAGCTGGTCTCTTGCAGAGTCCTCTGGCTTTCATTTACATGCAAAAATTTTAACTCTGCAGCAGAACTCAGTGCTCTGTCAGACACAGGCCTGTTTTTCTGCTGCAATGTTTGTAGTTGGTCTGTAGCACCTCCAGAAGCCTGAGATCAGAGTCTAAGCATTTGCCACGAAGGGCAATCTATAAACCTGAATGGTAGGCAGATACTTTTAAGTTGTGCAGTTTCTGTAGTGTGCACTGCCAGTACTGAAGTTGGAGGAGGTTTCCACACCTGAAAGTTGCATTGACAACACTACTAATGGCAGATGAGGATACAGCAAGCAATTGCTCCTTTTGCTTTGTTGCTTATTTGCATGACTTTATTGAAAAACAGAAAGAGGAGACTAAACAATGTTGTGGTTTAACACCAGCCAGCATCTAAGCCCTGCACAGCTGCTCACTTACTACCCCCTCAGTGGGATGGGGGAGAGAGTCAGAATAGTAAAAGTGAGAAAACTCATGGGTTGAGATAAAGACAGTTTAAGAGGTAAAACAAAAGCTGTGCACGCAATAAAAGCAAAACAAGGAATTCATTCACTGCTTCCCATTGGCAGGCAGGGGTTCAGCCATCCCCAGGACAGCAGGGTTCCATCATGCGTAACGGTGACTTGGGAAGACAAACGCCATCACTCCAAACGTCCCACCCTTCCTCCTTCTTCCCCCAGCTTTATGTGCTGAGCATGATGTCATATGGTGTGGGATATATCCCTTTGGTCATTGGGATCAGCTGTACTGGCTGTGCCCCCTCCTAGCTTCTTGTGCCCCCCCTCCACCCCCCAGTATCCTTGCTGGTGGGGTGGGGTGAGGAGCAGAAAAGGCCTTGACTCTGTGTCAGCCCTGCTCAGCAGCAATGAAAATATCCCTGGGTTATCAGCACTGTTTCCAGCACAGATCCAAAACATAGCCCCATACTGGCTACTCTGAAGAAAATTAACCCCAGACAAAACCAGCACAGTATATAACAACAAATAGTGTTGCTTATTATGCTGCATGAAGCAATTTTTTATTCCACGAGATATCAGGAAAATTTGTCTTGCTGCAGTTGAAGTTTTTGCTGGATGGACTTCTTGCAGTTTATCCAAGGGCAGTAAACTCGATTCCATCTCATCAGAACTGGGAAAGAAACATGGACTTCCTTTCTTAATGCTGAACATACAGTATTTCTTGTGATTTGTCAGGATGTGTACTCTGGCTTACTGTTAATGAGAAAACTCCCACCCCACCCCCTCACTCCCTAAATGTAGGACACATACCATTCTGACTAAGGGGACTTTCTTTTCTATCCCCTTTTTATTTATAAGAGTTGAGGTAATCTAAAACAGAAGTATATATTACAGAATGAGCTGGCAAGTTGGTAGTAGAAGAGAATATCTCACCTTGATTAAATCTGTCTTGATAATGTGCTGGTTCTGTGTTCTCTTGTACTTCTCGTATTTGCTGTTTTCTAGTTGAAAATAGTTTTCTGGTTGGTAGAGAATGTTAAATGCTTTCTTACTTTAGCAAATTGTTGTAAGTGATCATGACATGGAACAAACTTTATGGACTCATTTATCCATTAGGAGCAACATATCAGTATGTTCTGCTCTTTTGACAAGTCCCTCTGAACCCACTGCTCTCTGTAGACAAAATGCAACTCAGAAACAAATATGGAGAACTTAAAGGGCTCAAGGAGGAAGGAGTATTAATTGAAGGGTGTGAAGAAATTGATTCTTCTTTATGGAATTTTGGCCTCCAACTTGAAGGGTTTGCTTTAAGGCCATTATATTCCAGAAAAGTATAACTGTGGATTTGATGTAAAGTTGGAAGCAGAGGTACTACTAGTTCTGAATGCAGATTCCCAGATCTCTTTTTCTAGTTCCACTCTGCTTTCGTGCACTAGAAGGTTGTTTTTTTCTTTTTTTTTACACCTGATTTAGAAGAATGTGTCTACCCAATTTGAGGAATTAGAAGAGCAAGGAATGCTGAATAGATAAATAAAATATCTATAATTTCTTTTGTACTCTGCCAGTTTGGTCTTTTTTTTTTTTTAATTCTGTGATCTTTAAGGGTTTATGCTGCATGACTTAGTCTTTATGAAGACTTCTAACTTTCAACAGTTGTGACAGTCTGGCTTTGGATAGAGAAGAGGCTTGTAGGTGAGGGTAGAGAAGGGCATGTTTCTTTGCCCAAGACTTCTATTCATTTAACTTCCTACAGGTTTAAGATCCATTTTATGCCTGACCATGTTTTACTACTTAAGCCTTTGAAGACAGAACAAAGGCAACCTTTCAGATTATTCTTTTTTCCATCTAAGAGCAGGCCAGCAAGAACGCCTCTGTTAACACATTTTCGAAGGTAAGGCCCAAAACTGTCATTTGGGTGACCTTGGGCATTGTCAGCTGAAATTGTAATCCGTTAACTCTCTTACAAAAACAGGCAGTTTCGATAGTCTGTGGTGGATTCCCATGCCCAGAGGTAGCACCATCCTCTATCTTAAAGGACATGCCCAATTTCTCCAGGCCTTCCCCAAAATTATATTGTGGGAAAGCACGAATCTAATGCTTTCATAGTCATTCTTTTTCTGATCCTTCCCAAGTCATGCAAAACCTTACTAAGGAGAGGCTGCTTCCTCTTGGGCTTTGCAAGATCATCCATTTTTGGTTATTTCTTAAAATGGTCAAAAAACTTTTGGCACCATGCCTATCAGTGAGGTCGTAGTGCATTCTGAGCTATATAGACCCGGTTCTGCAGTTGCCAGTGCAGTTATGTTTTCTCCTGTGAAGTGTCTCTGAAGCTCTAGGAGTGTGTAATGCAGTTACAGAGGCTACAGCAGGTGAAGCCGTATGATAGTTCTTTGCTTTGCAACTATGGCTCAAAAGACTAACCATGCAGTTGCATAATATATGAAGTGCTGTGCTATTCTTAGCAGGTGTTCTTTCAACTCCTACAGATAATTCCTATGGAGCTGATAAACTCCATCTTTAAAATAAATTCAGGGACAGTAATACTAAAGCTGAAGCCTTATGTTTGGACATTGGTTCCTTGTTGTGTTTACACATAGATTTTCTTGTATTTTGCTGTATGTGATGAACTGTAGCTGTTAAGAGTGGATGGTCTGGCTTATCATGGCCCCAGTTTTCCCATGTAGTTGTTCTGCCATTCTCTCTTGGTGCTTGAATTCTAGTATGCCTGGATAATGGTGTTGTGTTTTGTTTTTTTTTTAACCCCTCAAGCCATGTACTTAGTCTCATCAGTCTCTTGTTCAGTGATGCTTATAAGACTTTTTTTAATTTCCTTGGGAGAAAAAGATAGCTCTGTGCATGCTTCCTTGCTAGGAGGTAGCTGAGAGGGAGAAACTGTTGCTTGCTTTGCTAATTTTCTGTGTTGCAGTCATATCTGTCCTTCCTTAAACTAGTAAAAGTCCATTATAGGCAGAAATGTTTGGGATTCTCACATTCCATAAGACAATCCAGCTTCTAAACTTGTTTCTTCCTCATCGCTTGCCCAAAATACAGCCTGTGTTTACATTTGTATCAGTGTAGTTTGCCAGGTATTACATATGTGATGTTATGCAAGTGCCTGATTTTTTCCATGAACTAGAGGGATGTGAGGTGGAAGTATGCACTGAGAGCTGTCTCTTCCTTTTTTACTTTTGTGTCTTAATTCTGTTCTACCCAAATAGACTTCTTGGGAGACTGTAGGGGGAAAGAAGAAAAGCCTTGGAAAGGAAAGCTCAGAAAACAAAGAGAACAGAGAAAAACGAGGGGACAGAGAAGTGAGTCGCGGACGGGGAAGTTCCAACAGACGGGGAAGAGGAGGCAGCCGTGGCCGAGAGTGTACGTATAGGGGTTCATTTTTAAAGATCGAGACACCTTTCTTGCACCTGAAACTGGCTGGGTTAAGAGTGAATGCTTGATGAAGTCTGTCCGAGCTATATCTCAGTGCTGAAGGGATGATAACTTGTTTCTGTGACAGGTATGCTTGATCTGTCTACATGACTTGGTTTTGGGATGGTCTGTGCTTGTTCAGAGACACTCAATTTAATTTACATTTCTCTCCTTTTTTGATGAATTGATCTCGTACAAATTGCTGTTCTTTATGTAAGTTTTAGAACTCTTTGTAAAGACTGCTTGAGAGCAAGTATGTCGCTGCACAGCTGATACACTTTTTTGTTTCTTTTAATGAAAAAATTATCCAGCATTGACTCCATCTCCTTTTATGAGTGGGAGAACCTGAAGATGTTCTCATCTTCTCATAAGGGGAATGAAAAGACTGGGATCATTATTAATCTCTAGCGTATATTACTCACATAAGCCAACCAAAGGTGAGTTTCTACAACAGAGAAAATTCTTTGTGAGTTGAAACATTTAAAAATTTGCTACAGTTTATACAGGTGCAATGATACATTGTACAAAAGCAGAAGTTTCCAAGTTACATAGAATCACATTAGGTCACCATTGGATACACGTTGCTTTTTTGTCTAAGTTTTATCAGCAGTGTCAAAGCTGTATGCATTGCCTATAAGGGCTGTACACAGCACTGATAGATGAGCAGAGAAACAGGAATGGAAACAATATGTTCAGCTTTTCACTTAAAAGCAGGAAAAATATTTACAATATTAGCCAACTCTTCTAAATCATCATTGGAATATATTCAACTATTGTGCCAATGAAGACATTGTGAATCGTTGTAGAATAGAGTAATGTCAAGATAGGAAAAAATATTAGTAAAGCTTGCAGCTATGCTTAGAACACATTGAAATTGGATCCATCAAAATGAAAGCAAGGGGCAAAATTTTTGCCAGAGCTACATGCTGCTTGTCTCTTTTTGTAAACTGGCATTAAAGATTTTTCAGATGGTTGCCAGGTCTTGATATTCTCTCCCCAGCTTTATGTCCAAGCATTAATGATTTTGTTGCTGCTGTTAGGGGTTTCGCAGTACAAAATCTCAGCAGTTTTTTAAGTGGCCAGTCATTTTTGGTTTTTTCTTCAAGAAGCCACCCAGCTTTCAGAGTACCTCCTCAGGAGTTTTCCACAAAATAGTTAAGTTGCAGTGCTTTCCTAGTGCCTCATCTTCATCCAGCCATCATCCCTCTGATTTAAATACTGAGGAGAGTTCTTTTAAGCTTCCCTGGCTATAAAGGGATGTGGTATGGGCAGACAGTCTATTTTTTTTTTTTTCTTCTCCCAAAAACCAGAAGTGTGTTTGCTGAGGGACATTTCCCTTGTGTTAGATGTTTTGCTTACTGATTGTCCAGTGCAAAGTAAATGTAACTTGCTTATGGCTAGGTCCCCAAACATGAGGGGTGACTGAGATCTGTAGACCAGCCCACTTTAAAATCTTTCCTTTTCTTCTGGGGTTCAGGTTAAGCAGATGGCTATATTGTCTCATGTATGAGTGTCTAAAGCTTCTCTTAAGCTGTCCTCTCTCCACAGTTAGAGCTGAAGAGAATGGAGTGGACAACAATCAAGGAGACAGGCCTTCAGACCGTGGGAAACGTGGCCGTGGGAGAGGTGAGATGGTGGCATTGGTGTGGGACCAGCACTGATTTTATGTCCTGAAATGGAAGTTTCATGTATTTCTTTAAACGTTTCTCTTTAAGGATTTGTTGGTTATCCTTTGATTCCATAAGCACTTCAGCCACCTGTAATTAAGGTACATTCCCTTAGCCCTTGTCATGTCTTGGTCTCAGAACAACTTAAAAGAATTGACACACATCACCTTTACGGTAATTTCCTGTGCACACAGACTGGTGTGCTCTGGCTATGGAGAGCTTTTTTCTCAGATTGACTCATTCCAGCCTTCTGTGAGTGGGAGCACACTGGGCTCCTCAGAATGTACCTTGGCAGCAGGAGAGTACAAGATTCCATCTGTAGGGCTCTCGGGGAGGGATTTGATGTGTACTTGTGCTGTGTCTTTGGGGTGGTCTGATTGTGAGGCTTGCCTTCTGTTTTCGGTGGCTAGTCAGAGACAGTACAAGCCACCTTAGAGACCTTTTGGTAAGACAAGAAATTTGACATGGAAGAGTTGATGAAGAGAACTGTGAAAAAAGAATACTGTGGAGTCTTAGGTACAACTGCGATCCTATACTGTAGAAGAGATAGGAAAGATGTTGATAAGGGATTTGGTGTGGAATCAGGGGATGTGTAGTTGATTTGGATTTTCATAGGTTGAAGTGGAAAGAGGCTTGTTTTTCTTAGAGCAAGAGGAATGAAAATGAGTAACCTAGGTACAATGCAGATTGTGTGGGGAAGTGGGTATTAAATGAGTTAAATTGATAAAGTGCACAGCAGAGCTAATGCACTTAGTAAGTAATGTCTGACTCGTAAAAAATTCTGCCTTTGAAGGACTCCCTTCTCTTTGGAATATCCAGTAATGAGGCATTCAAAGACAGGCACATCCAATTTCATTGTCTCCAGATCTGCATCTTGAAGGAATGGAAAGATGCAAAGACATGTATCTTCCAGAAGGTTGCAAGAATGACTTGGTTGTGCCTGTGAATCAGCGAATACCAAATGGTGTGTGCAGAGAGGTAATTTTGCAGGGGAGGGTGTGGTATATGCTTCACAGCTACAGTTCTTGGTGTGTTAGGACTGTTAATAGATGGAATTTAAGTCTTTCAGTATTTGTTTTATAAAATAATCCTTTATAGTCTAAATATAAAGGTAGGCTTTTTTTAAATTGTTGGGTGAAATTTAGAAGTTAATTTCAAATGCAGTCTATTTTTTACTTTGTAACCTTACGAACAATACACTACTTTTTTTGTCAGCACTGTAGCTCTCTAGATGAATATCATGTATCTCAAGCCAAAGCACTTAATCGTCAGATCAAACTGATGTATCTAACTGAAGAAACAGGAACAACTTCAACAAATTTCTGTTCACGGGCTTAGTGTACCTAGTATTGCTGTGTATCTACCAAATATTTCAGACTGTACAGTCATGGGAGCAAAGTATCTTAATGAAGTGTTCTCAACTGTCTGTGATAAACCTGTTGAACAACTTCATGATCATTGTATTACCAGTGTGTGTATATTCTGTGGTAGGAGATACCTAATTTAATTTTATAATGCAAGTCCTTGAAATCTGCAGGGAGTTGTATAAAGCTGTGTAATTCACTTCTCAGTATTTGAGGGATGCATGACCTTCTTTCTTTGCATATTAGTAAAAAAAAAGCTTCCTGCCATTTCATTCAGTAGTCTTTCTTTTCTGTTACACGGAATAGTCAAATGTGGGTTAAAGTACTTCTGCTGAAAGTAAACAGATTGCTGGTAATCACCACAGAACCCTTTTTTAGAAATATTTCATGCAGAGCATGTGTGTAGGAATCTAGGCACTGGATACAAAATTAGGGGTCAGCTAGTACCTGAGCAACATACTGTTGCTGCTTTCTAGGGGAAGATTTGTTGGGCCATGGTATTACTGCTTCACTGTAGAAAAACCTAATTTTAAGAAATGATATGCACTGAAAGTAGCAGAAATGGGGTTGATACTGGGGTGATAATGTGCTTTTTACTCAGGGGAAAAACCCTGATACTGAGTATGTCATCCTTGGTGCTGTAGGCACGAGCTTCCTCATGCGGTGTATCTTTGTTAATGACTCTGTGACATTCCTTGCAACTTTATAGGGTAGTAGCTATACAGTGTACAAACACCACTCATTGCTGGTATGCAGGAGATCGGGGATTTGAAGTAGATACACGTTATTGACTGATTAGCAGGAAGCAAAAATGCATCACAGGATATTTTTCAGGACACATCCCAGCTGGAATTGCTCTACCTTTAATTTTTGCTTGCTAAACTAGGGGTGTAAACTTTGGCTTGGAAAGGAGTCAAGGGATTTCTTTTTTTAAGATGGTCTTTCCATCTGTCTTTCTTTTTAGAACTGAATTCCTTGAATGAGCTTAATTTGGATGTAAAAAATACTATAATGGTGATGAATAGTAATTGCATCAAAGTGATTATATTTGTGTGTCAGTATTGCAAGGATTTGTAACTGTCTGGAGTGGAATCTCGTGAAGGAATCCTGGAGGAAGGTGGTTATGTCTTCAGGATTGTCAGCTCTAGAAACATTTCCTCATTTGTGTTTTAATCAGCTGCAGCGTTATATACAAATTGACAAACTTTACAGGCACAACTTTTTTTTATGCTGCTGTTCTCACATATTTACGTTCACATCTCGTTCTCCCATTGTCCTCCACTCCATGTTGAAAAGGATGCCGTATAGCTAGAAAAGGCTTTTGAAGTTATCACAGAATGGCAAGGGTTGGAAGGGACCTTGGGAGATCATCTAGTCCAACCCTCCTCCTAAAACAGGTTCATCCAGAGCAGGTTGCACAGGACATCGTCCAGGCAGGTTTTGAATATCTCAAGAGAAGGAGACTCCACAGCCCCCTGGGCAGCCTGGGCCAGTGCTCTGTCACCCTCAAGTAAAGAAGTTCTTCCTCATATTCAACTGAAACCTCTTATGCTTCAGTTTGTGCCCATTGCCCCTTGTCCTGAAAGGCACGGGGAAGCCTGCATTCATAGGGTGTGAGGAACTAGGACTTCTGTGCCTGCAAAAGAAAGGTCTGAGTAGGGTGGATCTGTAAAATTTCTTTGGGGAGATCAACTGATCACTTCAAGCAAGTGTGGAAATGAGGGACTATTAAATGAAATCAGTAGGTTACAGGTTCAAAATGGACTTATGGAGGTGGTTCTTCATATGTGTATTTAACCTGAGGAATTCCTTTCAATAAGAGGTTGTGGGTGCTTAAATTTAGACACAAAGAGACCTGACAATTTCAGCCAAAAAAATACCACAGCAAGAAAAAGAAAAATCAGTGAGGGTTTTGATGTATGCAAATTATCTTTGGCTGAGGAAGTCTGAGCCACAAATTGTTGAAGACCGTGAGTGTCCAGAGAAACTGCGCTGTGGTTCATTTCATGTACTCTTCCCGAGATATCTGATTGACTCTAGCTGATAATGGGAGAGCAAGAAGTTGAACTTTCAGACTTGATTCAGCATAGAGATTGTTACAGATTCACATGTAGCAATTCCTCTGGTTGCAAAGTGAAAATGGATTTGCTGCTTTTACTTCTGTTCCTCTATTCTCTTCCTCTTCATTGTTCCAGAGAAACTTGAGCATGCCATAAATGTGGATGCTGACAGGGATTTTTTTTCTAGCAGAATAGAAATAAAAATGAGAGTGGAAAACATTATGTTTTAATTTTGGGCTTAAACAGCATGACAAGGAGCCTTTCAAACTCTTGCTTTTTCTGCTGGCTGCTTAAGAAAGCAAAGCAGCATACCCTTTTTGTAAATATCTGACTGTAGTCCAGCTTGTATTCTTGATCTCTCTTTATTTTTTAATGTTTTTTTAGGTAAGAAGTAGGTGATCCTTGAAAAAAAAATGAGCTTTTGTAACCAGAATTGGGTGTCTAAATATTTTCTTGTTTTAAAAGCTTAGCACAGTTGGCACAGGATATATTTGTGATTTCCTTTGCCAGAAGTAGTAAGGATGTTGGTTTTTATAAAATATGAATGTAGAGCAGACCTTCTGGAGGTCACAATCTGAAGTCTGTTTAGGTTTGCTGTAGTTGGTTCTGCGTTGGTTAAGAGGCTGTGTGTGTCCTGTAATTTTTTTCTTTTTGAGATTAACCAGAACTCAGCTTTAACATGTTGTTTTCTTTTAAACATAGAGTTGAAAGTTTTCTGCACATGCTTCTGAAAATGGTTACTAGAGTACATGCAGTATATAAAACTGATCCAATTCTTCTAATATAACTTCACTGGTTTGGTAGTATGGAATACCTAGAACACAAATTTTCTATAATAAGCTCCCTTATTTCTTCCTAAGGCTTAAGCCTCCGTCACATCGGTGTCTGCTGGGAGGATGGCTGGCTCTGCATTTCCAGAGCAGAGACCAGAGCTGTTCAGTTACTGTGCAGTCGGCGATAAGCACAAGTCTAGGTTGTTGCGTGCCCTTTCAGCCTGCATTTCCTTTTCCTTTCAGCCATTCTTAGGCCTCTTTCTTAGCCTTACGGTGTCTTCAGCTAATTTAAACCTGTCAGTGTGAAAATCTGAAATGAAGCACCTGTGTGGCAGTGGAGGGATTTAAGTCTGCAAGCTCAGCAAACTGGATTTTCTACATAATAAGCTATTAAGTTAATGGGCTTGGCCCATCTGAGTTATGGTGCTACATGCTTTTCTCATGCTCCCATGTAGTGTGCGTTTGTTTTGGGGGAAGAAATGTTGTGAATGAGATGAGTGATTGTTTCTATGCATGGATGGTACCAGAGTAAAGACTTGGTTGTGTAATTATGAGTGTTTTGAATTCCTAGTGGGTTTTAGTGGAAACAGAAAATCCTGCCACCTGCCTGGATATAAGTGTTGACTTCTCTAGAATTTGTGATACTTTTTATGTTACAGGCATAAACTGTCATTACTGCTGGGAGGAATTGGGCCTGTCTGTCTCCTGCTGCATTTGAACTGTATCAGAGGATTGATCCAAGTTTAAAACTAACCAAGCCAAAAGAAGAAAAAAGGGGGCAGGCAGCATGGCAGCTGGGGACAACAGATTTTTTTGCTGGCTTATCCTGGTGTAAAGGTGACTAGTTTTCTGGCATTTAACAAGGAGGGAACTGGTTCAGAGAGCTGATCCAAAAGTGAACTAGTAATTTTTTTTTTCTGATAGTGGTTTTGTGCTCACTCACTGGTACATGCAAAACCATCAGTGCAGGAAAGAGAGCAGAGCTTGTGATCACTAATGAGGAAGATCTCAGTTGTAGTAGTTCTGATTTAAGTGGGTTTAAGTTACTATGGGATTGCATGCTCAGATTTGGGTCTGTGCTCTGAATTGTGGTGTGAAGCCCCATTTGGTCACTGACTTTATAGTCACTGTTAAAAAGCATCAACCGTTTGTGAATACCTGGTGGACATTCATAGCTGCTTCCTGACTAACTTCTCTGTCAGAAGACTGTGCCTTTTAATTGTGTTAAGGCCAGTTTTCATTTTGGTGGCTGAGAGAAGTACCTTCCTTAGCATGAGAATTTAAGAATATATTAGTGATCTGGTTGTGTCAAAGAGCATATCAGCTCTTCCTATTGGCTTCTTGCATTAGTGACCATGATATATAAGATTCTGTGTTTGAGTTAGGGTCATGTTTCAGTGGTGAGTATTCACTGTTTCATATTTTGAATTAGTGTCTTTTCTAGCTTTGAATTTAGTGCTTTCTGTAACCCCACTGGTTTGGTAATTCCCTTTTGTCTTCATTAGAATGCTTTTTGTTGCATTTGTTGATTAAACTTAAATTTCATTTCAGTTTTGACAGAAAGCATAGACACAGTTTTACGAAGTTAAGGGAATCCACTTGAAATTCAAGTTCAGGGTAAACTTTCAAAGAGTTCTGATATAGAAAAACCCTTGCTGGCTAGTAGTCTAAGACTGTGTAAACTTCAGGAACATCATGATTTCTTTCTAGCAATTTCTAAAATTATTAGAGATTCTTATTGCTTCGCTTGCTGTAAGTTCATCTTCTGTTTAATATGCTAAGGTTATTCTTTCTGGCTTTTGCACTTGGGAGGTTGGAGAGTCTTACCTCCTCTTCTAAAACCTGTTTGTACTTTCATGCTAGTTATTCCAGCTAATCTCCCTACCTAATGTCTGCCTCACTCAAAAATATTTCTGCTTGACTTTTTCCGTAATTCACAGCTCCCAATCAGTGTCGTAGATGACCTTGTCAAAAAAATGTTGATCACTCTTCTGTGCATCACTAGTAAATGGTGTTTAATGCTGTATCGATAGCTGTAGGAAGTGAATGTATTACATAGGTGGCCTTTACAGTCTCCCCAGGTAAACTTCTTTAGCTGGTTCTGCTCTTAATAAAAAAAAAAAAAGATTATTTACTGGGCAGAAAGATAATCAGGAGTGCACTGGCTTCTGTGCATTTGAGAGCTGCGACCTCATTATGCCATGGATCAGCTTCCCAGATTGAGGATTTTAGGTTGGCAAAGGGGAGAAGACCAGTAGGCTGAGCAAGGAGGTTCAGAGGCCGAGTTACAATTGGTTGAGTACAGCATGGCCTGCGGCACTGTTGCTTATGGCAGAGCAGAGAGCACAGCTTCACCCATGGGCTTGGTGAAGAGAGATGGCAATTGATGGGTTGCAGCTGTTGTTACCTCTTTCCTAACCTCTGTCTGTCTTTTCTCCAACCCGTTGTGAAAAAAGAGCAAAGAGGGGAAAATTTAGAGATAGCAGGCCTGTCCTAGAGTCAGGTTTCAGTTCTGTGTTATTGTCCCACCAAAATACTGTGTGTTGCTGGATGGGAATCCTTCCTCTGCAGGCTTCTGTGGTTCCTCTGTAGCTAGCAGTTGTCATCTCATGTAGGATATGGGTAAACTCTTTCATCAAAATGTGGGTAAAACTATTCTGCTGTTTTGATGCTTCTAAGAGAAGTCTTTGAAAATGTGTGTAGTATACATTTTAGAGGGCCAGAAATGCCTTTTAACACTTGGACAGTAAACTAGGGTAAGGGGAAGAATGAGTGCTGAGGGGAGGGAAAGTCATTAAAATAGGAGCTTCCTAAACTGGTTTTACCATGTCCTGGAGCTCTGCTTTAATTCAGTTTGTGTGGTCCCCTGAAAATAAGGGGTAATTTTGATCCAAATTCGAACAGCCCGTCATGGATAATTCTTATATTTGGACAACCAGTGTATTGGTGACTTAGGATTGTAACTTCTGTGCTCTAGTAAACTTGTAGTTGCTTGGTGACTTACAATTACCACATAATTTTATCATTAAAATAAGCATCACTTTGTTGTCAACCTGCAGCTCTTGACCTCCTCATGTTCTTGGAATACAAAATGACATCCATAGTCTTCCTCAAAAAAACGACAAACTGGAAAAGCTTCAGATATTGAGGTCCTAAAAAAGGGGAAAAAAGAAAAATCTATATAGAAATACACCTGTCACAAATGCTGATTTAGGATCCTGTCGACTACACCAGTTTGTTGTAAATGTGTGACTTTACACAATTTGATTTAGTAGCAGTTTAGAATTTATTTGTGCCTTTACGGCAAATCACAGGATTGGATCGTGATACTTTAATAGCGCTCGATCATTGGTCCATTAACAAAGTGATTTGACAAAATTTCTTTTAATCAAAAGAGTGACTTAGTTAAAGGTTCAAAAATGGCAAGGTTCACTATTACTGCATGGAAGGAATACACAAAGGAAGATGTAGTTATGCTCGAGTTAGAATGATTCACAGAGAGACCGTGGATGCAGAGAATAAGGAGGACCTTCCTGTAGGGTCATGAGGTTCAGAGTTGGCCTCCTTGCTTTCTAAACTCCTTCTTAGAGAGGAGTCTAGATACAGCTAGGTCCAATCTGAGTCTCAGGTTTGGGCAATGGTTTATGTCTAAAGATAATATGTGTCTTAACAGCAGTCTAAGGCTCACTTTATAATTAAACCACACATTTTCAGATTACTTAAATCAATTCACACATGCATACACACAGGCATGATTATATTTGAGAGAGAGATACCTGTTAAAAATTCCCCTCAAGTTCAGTGAAATATTCACATCAAATGTCTTGGCATTTCTCAATAGGGGAGAGTTGAGCTTCAAGGAGTGAGGGGTTTCAGCCCAGGCTCCACCATCGGTCTTCAGCAGTGGACCTCCAATTTTAACAGAATAGAGAATTTGCTAGCTCTGAGGTGTGTGCCACTCAGAGGGAGATGCTGGTCACAGCCCACTGCAGTCCAGGAGAGCTCAAAGGGCCTTACTTAGGACCACTGTTTTATAGGGTTGTGAGATGATTGGCTTTAGTCGTCAGAAAATTTCCATCCAGGCCACAATCTGGGCTAGTAATGACTGGAATTCCAGTAATGATGGTACCACGTCACTCAGGTTATGATCAAGGTGTGTTCCAAGGATATTGGGGATCACTGGTTTCTCCCGCTCTCACTACCCCCCTCAGCCATGTAGGAGTTCCTGGTATGGACGGTGACACGTAATTGTCTGACTCATTACACCAAGGTCAAGATCTGGAGGGATTTCCTGAGATTGTAAAGTGGTCCAGGAGAAAAAGGGCGGGGGGGTTGGAATGCATCATTGCAAAATGCTGCATGTAAGAAAGTTTCTAACAGTTTATGTAGATGTGTGCTTTATGGATGGCTAAGTAATAAACTTTCACGCCGTGTTGGTACTGTGCAAGGTGCAAAAATAAAGCCATCTACTGCATCAAGAAGCTTGTAAACTTAAGCTGGTAACCAAAATTTGAGGCGATAAATATTTCTTGCTGTTAAAATAGAAATTAATATTCTTGTGGGTGATAACAAGGAAGTTGTTTGAGTAATTTGAATTGGGTGATTTTCATGTCAGTAACTGTGATTAAGGGGGAAGCAGAAAGAATGTATGGTTGTAGGTTGGCAAAAGCACAGGAGGGTAGGGGTGCACAGGTGGGCTGAGTCAGAGAAGGAAACAAATGGATTATTTAAACTTTCTCCTCAACAAGGAGTGACAGGGAATTTCTTGAGAGATCAGGGTACCCAAGGAAGCTGGGATTCTAGAGCATCTTAGGCAAGAGTGAGAGAGACAAAATTTTGAATAATGTCTGATGATTTGGCAATAACAGTCTCGTGTGGGATGGGTCTTCTAGGTAAGTTCCTTTCTTGGCATATGGAGCTACTTCACTAGATACAGAAAACATAGCAAAGAATTGCTAGTCCTACTGAAACATGTAGTCTTGGATTGTGGCTTACTTGCGTGTGTTAGGGAAGCAAATTTTCCTGTGAGGAAATTTGGGAAGTAGCTGATATTTGACTTTAACTGCAGTAGTTTTCTTCTTCAACCATAGTATTTTCTAATGTGACAGATTAGTGATTGGCGGCTCCTCTGCTGTTGCTGTTAAATGGTGTTTTCTCTCCTAGGGTTTGGACGTGGCAGAGGGAGAGGAGCGGGGAGGTTTTCAGCCCAAGGCATGGGGTAAGAAACATGCAGAGCACAGATATTGGCAAGGATCAAACTCAGTGGCAATAATAATTGACAGTATTGCCACTGTATGTATTAATTATGCTGTATGTCTGATAAACCAATACGGATACAAAAATTCACAAATCTGTTAGATGATTAATGGATTATTTTTTTCTTAAATCACTATTTCTAACTAGGCACACACCTATACAACCTTATATATGTTCACTCAATGTTAATACCTCAAACTTGGAGAACCCATTTGTACCTATCAGGAGCAGCCACATAGTGCCTTGGAGGCTGAAAGTTCTGTGTGGTGCGTATAGTCCTAGGTCAATTTAAAAGTAGATTTGTTTCAATGCAATGTAGAACGTGCAAGTTCTATGTAAACCCAGAAAGTCTAGGGATTATAAACTTTCTCCTGTTTTTGAGGTTTTAGGCTTTAGCTGTTTGGACATACATGGGCCCTAAAACAGAATCAAAGGAAGTTACTCAGCAGCTCTAAAATTTTTTCTCGGTTTTGTTGGAATAACTTGCTTCAGAGAAGTGTAGCCTCTACTACTTCCACAGAGTGTTTGCCTTTAATGACATTTCATGTAATATCAGTGATGTCATGATGAACAGAAGGCTCATTGTACTTCTCTAATAATCCTTTTTGTTCATCCTTGTAGATGATAAACTGAAAAGAGGTTTTTCTTCAGTAATCCTTTTTCACCTCTTAGCTGCAACTGTTTTGTTTTGGCGTTGGTGTCAGGAGTGCATTCTGAAATAATCTTACTGATGTTCAGACTCCTGTCCTGTGCAGGTCTGGTCCTCTGAAAGGACGCAATACTGGTTTCTCATCAGTCAGCCACATGCTGAGAAACTATCAGCTGAGAGGGGCTTATCGTTGTGCATATAAACTAATGCTTTATAAGACTGGGACGAGTAGGTATGCTGCTAACTGCTTTTTCAGTAATTGCTGTTTTGGTTCAATTTCTCTACAGTAATTTTTTTTTTTCCCAATCTACTCACTTTTTTTCTCCTCTTCTTTTCTCTCTTCTCCTTTTTTTATCTGTGTCTGCTCATAGAGGAACAATTTCTTTTGAAACCAAAACTATCAAGATAAATTATGTGGAAATTGAGATGTTAAAACTTCAGCTGAAAATAGTGACGCTTATGTTCATTGAATGACCCATGTGTTCTCTTCCATTTCTTAACTTTTAAAACTCTAGGACATTTAACCCTGCAGACTATACGGAGTCTTCTGCCACTGATGGCTTTGGGACAAAATCAGAGATTTGGGAGACTGGTCAGAATGATGCAGATGATGGAACTGGTAAGATGCTTCAAGAAGTGGAAGGATTGGAATGAAGACCTGTAGCAAATTGCAGTTAAAATAACCATTCTGTTAGTGTTCAGTTAAATTCTGAAAATGCGAATACATCTCACACGACACAGATGTTAGTTCATTTTTATAGCTTAACTGCTACTAATGTGCAGAGCACATGCTGTAGCCTGAGTGACTGTCTGGTTAGAATGAAGGGAAGGCAATTTGCAATTTTTTTTGTTTTAGTACTAACAATCTATTGAGAGACAAAGAGATTTGAAGAGTTATTGAAAGAACTTTGTGTGTGAAGAACTGTTTAGGTATCTTAAGTACTGCTTAAGAGCTTACCTAATGTAGTTAAGGAGTATAAGTTCTACTAAAAGCGATTGGTCTGCAGGCATCGGGCAAATAGAATGTGAACATCTAAGTAGAAGAAGAAAAAGAAAAGAAAAACAGTTTACAAATATGAATCCATTCAGTGACACTGCGATGTCTTTGGAAGCCCCACCTGTACAGCAGAGGAATGAAAGGATGTGTATTTCTGGGATGGAGGAGAGTTCCAAGATTGCCACCTCTGAAGAGAATTATGAACTAAAGCACAAGTAGGCGCTTGAATGGAAGCCAAAAGAGCAGTCTGCCTGTCTGAAGATAGAAGCATCTGTGTGTTTCTGTGCGAAGTTTCAAGTGTGAAGTATGCACTCTGGCTAAAGGCAAGAGACAGACATCGTTTAAAAAGGAACCACTTAACAGTGGTCTTGTGTTGATTCAGAAATGAAGACTGTGACCTGCTTGTCTGTGATTAGGAAAACACAATACCTTGCTGCTTCCTATATTATGTGACAGGACATGAAGACAAAGGAAACCCTGCGTCAGGATGGAGAAATTCATGTATGTTGTTGTCCACATTTGGGAACCACTGAGCAATAGGAGAGGAGTTTTGTTTTTTTTTTTTTAACCCCCAAGGGGTAACTTCTCATCTCTTCATTGCTGAAACCTAGTCAGATCATTTTTCATCAAGCGCTGCGTCAAGTGTGGAAGAGACAGACTGATACTGGAGGCCAGTGTGTGCTCCGTTGAGCTCTGTGGTGAGCCTCTTGAGATGTGGCTTTCTAAACTTCATACAAGCTGTTTTCCAGTTAACAAGAGAAGACAATAACAGGCTCAGAGTTTAACAGAGTTTATTAGGCAGCTGTCTTGTCACTCTGAGTGCCTTCTAGTCTAGTGTGGGAAAGTGGCACTGAGTATATTAATGGTTATTGAAAGGGAGCTCTTTTGCCAAATATGGCATAATAGGAATTACTTTTGAAATTACTTGGTGCTATAGTACAAACAGAAATGCACTTGTACTTTCACTCATGTTAGTTTTTCAAATAGGTTTATCAGATAATGACTTAGAAGGACACCTAATGACTTAAATTCCCATAGGAATACTGATACTCTTTGCCATATGGTATAGTGGAGGGTAGGGTATGTTGTCACAAGTATTGCAGAAGCAGTAAGGTTAACTAACTAAAGCAAGAAGACATGCAAGAAAAGCGTGAGGAGACTGGACCAGAGGTAGAAAGTTCACTGGTTAGTTGTTAACGAATGCAACCGTAAGGCTGTGGCTTACAAATTACTTTTGACTTGTGCTCACTTCTCAAGTGAGCTTGAATATTTTGTGACCCTCCATGCTAACTCTAGGTTGCCTTAATGTGCCTCCCCTATGGCAACCTCTGTTCCTTCTTGTAGGCATCTCCTCAGTCAGTCTTCAGTAATGGAAGAATTCTGCCTAGGAATAAGAGTAGCTTGGTGTGGATAAACAGATCCTCCTAAGAGTGTGAATGTGTCTACATGAGGGGTTTGCTGGTGAGCAAACTGATTGGTGGAAATTAAAAGTGTACTAGTTCATATGCGGAACTTTTTTGGATGCCAAGTGTGTTTTTGCTGTTATGCTGTGCACATGTCACAGAGAACTGCACTGAACTCCAGTAATGCAACTTAGGGCATGCATGGAAAGCTGGGGAGCATGGTATGGAGAAAAAGCTGTGAGAAGGTATTTGGGAATCTTCTCTGGCCTCATTAGATTAATGGTTCTTAGGGGTATGAATAAGTGAGTGTTAGTGTGGGAAGTTCCTGCAAAATCATTTGGTTGGTAGAATTTTAACATAAACATTTATTAAAATTAAATGTAACATAGTTAAGTGTGAATGTTCTTTTTAGGTGCTAGGTATGTTTTTCCTGCTAATCTTAATTTACTTTCAGTTAAAATGGAAAAGGCACAATAACTGAATAAAATGTCTCTCTCTATGTGACTACAGGAAGAGTGTTTTATTTTGGTGTTCCTTCTTCAGGCAAGCTGTAGGAATATCAAAAATAAGTCCCTGAGTCAAAAAGAAGAGATCTCTCCAAAAAGAGTAGGCTTTAGAATTGAATCATTTAGCTTTGTCCAAGTGGGAAGCACTTTCAACCTTGTGATGGAAAGCATCTTGAGGATTATTAGAAGAGGCTGCAGCTGGGGTCGTAATTTTAAAGCAGAATAGAGAGTGCAGAATAGAGAAGGAAGACGAAAGCAGGGATGGGGGAAGAAGTGGCAGACAATGTGTGGGGCTGGAAACAGGTTGTACAAAGTTGAACTGTTGATTTGGCTTGTTAATCACAAATACTAGTTTTTAATTGTTTTTTTTTCCTCCTTAATTTACAGTTCTGTTTTGTTAGTTACAAATCAACAGTCCCATTAATAAATAAGTTACCAATGTGGAGTTACTAAAGATGTGAATGAGGAGGATGTGTATGTATGGAAATCCATAAAGCCTGCAGTGGGCTAGTGAAGGATGCCAGATAAGAGTATACACAGAGGAAGGGCAGAATGGGAATCCTTCTCTTTATTCCTCATTACCCAATCCCATTTCTTCTTTCATCTAAAAAGGAAAACAAAATTAGCTCATACTAGCTAGTCTTTCATCTGCAGTTACATTAAAAAGGAGATAACTGGGCAACTATGTTGGAGAAAAAAAATCATTTTATCATATCAAAATGTTTTCTGAAGACATTATGCAGATAGAAACTCTTTGTGAAGTTCTGAGTATTTACTAAGGTTTTCCTCTTTAAGCCAGTGATAGGAAAGATCAACATAAACATTTTCAGTCAAAAAGAAATAACACTATTTGTTTCCAAAATGTAGTTGCCTCCACACATGCTCTGAAACCACTCTAAAACCTCTTGTCCTGAATTGTTGCAGATGCCAGAGGAATCACTGTAGCCTGAATGAAAGGTGTTTCTAGGTGCACCATTGTGTAATCCTATAGAAAAGCTGTCTGGTTCTGTGGAGGTAAAATTTAGTGTTGTTGGTTGAAATAAAGAGAGAGTAAAAGGTGAATCTCTTAAAATGTTTATAACATTTTAAGTGTAATTGTATTCCAGATAATTCAACATTGGTTTTCCTGCATCCTAATTTTTAGAGAAGTAATGTACAACTGAAAGGCAAAGAGAAGGGACAGGTGGGAAGAAGCAGAATTGACCAATCCTCATCCAAAAGCAATTAAACTTGAACAGCATGATTGTTTTCTTACAGGCATGCTGAGTGTTCAGTCTTTTACGTTTTTGTAATGCACAAGTCAGTGGGAGATCCTGAACAACAAATCACAGCAGTTCTTATAAATAAATAATGTTGGAGGTGGTCACTTCTCAAAGTAGGTTATAAAACTGGTGTAGTATTCTGGTAATTTACTGATACCTCTACTTTGATAGAGTTTCACAGACATTTCACAGAAAAACTTCCTTCATTATCTTGGTTATGAGCAGCCTTAAATGACTCTGAAACTGAAGAATGACAAGAAAAAAAATAAATTGCAGTGTAACTGTCAAGGGGGAAGAAGGGAATTGTGTAGCTTAGAAGTTACAGTGAAATTGGGGTTTTTCTAGGACTGCTGTAAAAATTGGAAGGAAGGTTTTAAGGAAACCTGCAGGTCATTCTAGAATGTGAGTGTAGTCCGGAAGGAAAGTAGTAGTACATAAGTTTGGGGTAGACCAAAACAAAATTATTTTAGAGTTAATATCTGTGGCTGATTATTCAAAAAAGGAAAAAAAAAGTGTAGTAAAGAAGTGGAGGAAAATAGTTGAAGACTTACCAAAATCATATATCTATTGGCTTAATAACTTTCTAAACCCAAACTTGTTACAAAGGGAAACGGAAGAGAATCACAGATGGCCTCCAAGGTTGAAGTTGCTATGACAAGGATCCTTGAAAACACTAAGCATAATCTCGGTGGAAAACAGAACCCTTAAATTGTGATGCTTTGCAAGGCATGGGGGTAAAGGCTGGGAATAAGATATATCAATTTGCAATAATGCCGAAGTGGATGTTGGACTAAAAGGAAATTGAGACTTGTGGCAAATTCTCACTTGTGGCAAGATCACACTTAGAATCCCATCAATAGGAGGAGGGTGTTAGCAAGCTGGATTTAATGCAGAGCAGAGCCGTGAAATAACTGAGGCTGGAAGGATTGAGTTGGGAAGGTAGAGTGTTAATAAGCAACGATAATAAATTTAGCAGGTTGGGTAAACTAAGAAAAGTGTGAAGCATTGTGTTCAGTATTTAAAATGCACAGAACTGTGTTCATAAGTAGGAGCAACAGATGAAATTGACTATCAGCAAAATGTCCTAAGTATTACTCCAAACAGGCTCAGTCTCCCAAAGGTGATGTGGGGTGGCACCAGCATAGTCTTCTAAAGGGGCAGGCTTTGCTCTGACTGGGAGATAAATATAAGCAGGGCAAACCCTAGGATGTATTTCTTTAAAGAAGAAGTATTAGAAGAAGAGATCCTGTGGTCAGAAGGGCAAGAAAATCAACTGTTTCTCTAAAAACTGCTGCTCATTGGACTCTTCCTCCTTCCCAAAACATCTGTGGAAATGTGTGGATTAGTCTAGAAATTTGAGGCACTTTAGTGATTTTGCTATGCTCGGATATGATTATTAGTTATTTTTCAAGTGCCTCAATATTTTGCAGCATGTAGAAGCCTCCTGGTTAGGGGCTGTTTGGTAACATGTGAGCACAGGATGTTTCAGGCAACTCTATATTGCTCCACAGAGCCAACCCAGAGCGGCTGTTACCTTGCTCAGGACGTGCCAAATAATTTTGGATTCCAAGGTATAAACCCCCTCTCTTCTCCCCACCGTGTGTATATCTTTGTAGTAGGCATGTTTGCCTCACTAGATTGGTGCCATTCAGCCCTCCTTTGCCCAAGATGCTGCTTTATAAAGGTGGACAAAAGAATGCACAAATGTAGTGATGGCATTAGTTCACACTGGATTTGATGCTATCTTCAGGGTGCTTGTTTCTGGATGAATGTGTCTCAGAGGCTTCCTGGTGAGGTAAAAGGAGATGATTAAAGTTCTTTTGCTTTGGTGCTTGATCAAAGGTGATGGTAGCAGGATCTCTACTGGTGGTGTTTTCTTCGTTCGTGGTTACGTAGTTTAAATGAAGGCTCTGGTTGTTGCTGGGATAACCTTCCCTATGCTTATGCTGGTGGACAACGCCTTCCGTCCATTTATTGCTCTTGCATGTCTGTGCCTGCTGTTTCCTATGGAAGGGATCAGGTTTTTGCATCTGTAGGATTGTTTCCTGTAGTTTTCCCATTGCTGCACACTGTGGATGGTGCACTGTACTCCAGTGTTCGCCAAATGAACTGTCACAAGTTACAGGAAGAAGTGTTTTGCAGCTACGGTGGAAGCTTATTGACTCTTCTGCTGCCATTATATGAATTATATACGTTTTAAAATAAAATTACTCTATCAGGGGAAGGGATTGGGGTTGTTCTGGTCTGAGGAGAGAGTTAACAGGTTGGAAAGGAGCTTCCAGAGGCATCGCTTGGTGGGTCTGGAATTTGAATATGTTGAAAGTAGGGTTAGGGATTTTGGAGCAGGTGTTGTGGTTGAGTTATTTCAGGCTTGGTATGAATTTGTGCATGAAACTGGAAGATCCAGTGGGAGGGTTGAGTAACTTCTCACTTACTGGGGACGTAAGAGGAAGTTCTTCCAACGTTTGGGATTAATCACTCATTGCAGACATGCGTTTGTGCAAATTATATCTGGTACCATAGTGGCTAAGAAATTCCTGAAATCAGAAATTAAAGGGGAAAAAAACCCGCAACCCTCCCAAAATTTTAAATCTGCAGACCAATTTTGTAAAGCTTCCCATGTTTCCAACCACCATCTCCTCGCTTTGTGTTCCACTAATAATGAAAACGGGATTGCTTATAAAGCAGAGGGGGTGAAATACAACATTGTGCTTTTAGCTTGTAACCGTTTTCTTTCCTTCTCCAAATTACAATAGGAGCGTGGAAAAACTCAATAGAAGAATGGACAGCAGAAGACTGGAATGAAGATGTAAGTGTACCTTGTTGGATAGACCGAATGATTATTTACCCTTTCCGGAGTTTCTATGTTGTCTTCAAAAATTAAATGTTTGAAGTAATACTTTGCTGCATGCATGCAATGACATTTCTTACTGTATTTCTTGCTGTTTAAAATACATATTTTTAGATAAGCTTATTTTTTAAATAAAATTGAATCAAGAAATTTTAAATTCATTTTGCTGGGTGGACAATATATAGATAATAAAATTTAAAACTTTATTCCAAATTAAGTATTGTGAATTATAGTTCACCACTGCTCAGTACTGATGTGTGTTAACTGTATACTTCTCCTGACTATTGTGTATGGATTTAGACCCATATTATCGCAAGGCTTCTATGTAATTAAGTGCTGAAGCTTACTATCTTACAGACACCTCATTTGATGCTTTTTGTTTGAAATCTGCGTAATTGTTCTGCTTAGTCTGCTTCATGTTCATAATACTAAAAAAAGGAGCTAGTAGTATGCTGAAGTTAGCACTAAATTGCTTTATTCCTGTTGTTTCATCATGATGTGTTGTCTAAAGTACTAAAACAATTTTGGTTCTTATTCTTTATCAGGCAAGAGACACGTCCACATCTGAAAAATGTTTGACATTTCTGGTCATCACATGTGATAGCTATAGCTTCCTCCTGTAGGGTGGCATATCGGTGTTATCCCTAGAAATGTGTGAATGTTTTGTATAACAGATAAGAGAATTCTGTCATCTGATTAGAGAGCTGTGTCTTTCGAGAAATTGAAAAGAAACTCTAAAATTCCTAGGTTTTCTGTATCACTTACTGCCATTGAAAGCCTTTGTCTTTTTTAAACCTATCTTCTATTTCTGCAGTATATGCTAGAGGTGGACTAAGGGCTAAGGCTAGTGAAAATTTCTGGCCTTATTTCTCACCCCGTTTGCTGCTACGATACAGCATTTGTGGTATGAGAGGCATTTTGAGCAATGCTGACTAGGGATAGAATTTTTTAAAATTAATTATTCAACCTGAGTAATTTGCGCATGAAAGAGAAACAGATGAAATCTCTAGCCTGTTGTTAATTTTTATTAATTTTATGGTCCTGGAAAAATCCCTGTAACCTAGGAGAAAGTTGTTCATGTGCTGATGTTCAGAAAGACTGAATGGAATGGCAAGCTGCAGACACTTTAGCCCAAAACATGCCTCAGGAAAAAATAAAGGAAAAATTGATTAATCTGATTTTAAAAAAATAGAAGTATAAGAATGCAGCTTGTGCCATTCAGTGTTGTTTTATGGAAAATAGGTCCACTTCAAATAAACCTGATCTTGATCTCTAAGTAAATTACAAGTTAACTGTGAAGATAGAGTATGTCCTTGTAAGAGATTTGATTTACATCTTTTGTTCTAAAAATAATTACTTGCTATCAAGTGGATTAAAATCTGTTTTGCAAATTCTGGCAAGTAAGTATTTTGTAGGAGGACCCTTATTGAACGTAAGCATTTCTAGGACAACTATAAAGGAATCTACTCCCAGGCCAGATGCCATCTAGTGTCTTTATCAATAATTTGGAAGTAAAAATAAAATCACTGCTGAATAAAAAGTGTGGGAAATCAAAAAATTATGGAAATGGGAATTAAAAGTAAGCTAGTCATGCAGAGAAATCTGGACCTCTGCTAGACATGACCTGTTCCAATGAAAAATGCTTTAATGTAGCCAAGTGCCCACTTGTTTTGTAGGAATAAAGACAGACCTCCAGAGCAAGGGGCTGTTTTCTGGAAACCAGCAAATGAAAAATTTTCAGGATTGTAGTGGATGATGAAGAAAGAACAGCTTAGCGTGATCTCCTAAAGGGCTGAAGTTTTGGTAAAAAAAAAAAGCTATTGTAGTCTTTTTGCCTTTAGGCGCTCTTCCCTGTCTCTTAATCATTCTTGATTTGTATTTCTGTATGTGGACTCTCGAACTTGATTCTGAAGCACTGCACACAATTATTCATTAGTTTAACAAAACAAAAATTGTGGAAAATAGCAGAAAATTATTTTCTAAAAGAAGAGGTCCTTGAGAGTGAGATTGTTAGTTTACTGAATCCGATGTAGCCTGATGAAGTTTGCAGACAGCACCAAACTGAGTGGGGAAGTAGACACTCTGGAAGGGAGAGCCACCCTGCAGGAAGATCTGGACAGGCTGGAAGAGTGGGCTAAAAAGAGCCTTATGAAATTCAGTATGGACAAGTATAAGGTCTTGCATCTGGGAAAACATGATCCAGTAATGCAGCACAGGCTGGGATGCATCTGGCTGGAGAGCAGGTCTGTGGAAAGGGACCTGGGGACCCTGGTGGCCAGGAAGCTCAATATGAGTGAGCAGTGTGCTGCTGCGGTGGCCGAGAAGGCCAATGGGGTGCTGGGTTGCATCAACAAGGGCATCACTAGCAGAGACAAAGAAGTCATTATCCCACTGTACTGAGCACTTGTCAGGCCACATGTGGAATACCAGGTACAGTTCTGGTCCCTGCTATACAAAAAATATGTGGACGGGCTGGAGGGGGTCCAGAGAAGGGCCACCAAGGTTATCAAAGGCCTGGGAAGCCTGGCGTATGAGGACAGGCTGAGAGAACTGGGTTTGTTCAGCCTTGAGCAAAGGAGGCTCAGAGGGGATCTCATCACCACGTACCAGTACCTAAAGGGTAGCTATAAGGAAGGTGGAGCCTCCCTTTTCACAAGGAGTCACATGGAGAGGACAAGGGGGAATGAACACAAGTTGCTCTGGGGGAGATTCCGATTGGACATGGGAGGGAAATTTTTCACAGTGAGAACAGTCAGCCTTTGGAATAATGTCCCCAGGGGAGTGGTTGACTCTGCTACACTGGACACTTTTAAGACTCAACTGGACAGGGTGCTGGGCCATCTTGTCTAGACTGCTCTTACCTGGAAAGGTTGGACCAGATGATCCTTGAAGTCCCTTCCAAACTAGGATACAAATAATTCTATGATTGAAAAGGTTACTTTATTAGCATATAATGGGCTCTGATTTTAGTCTGGCAGACAAAGGCATAATATGAACCTGTGGCTGGAAAATGGAGCCATACATTTAAATGTATAACAATTCTAGTATGACTAGTGATTGCAGCAACCAAGGAAACTGATGTATTTGCTGTCTGCAGATAAAGACCGTGTGTTTTTGTAAGAACATTTTTGTTTAAATTTAGTGTTCTCTAGTCAGATACCAGTTAGGAGGAGCTGAGTGAAATTTAATGTTATTTGACCTGAGGATTAGATTTTTGTGATCTAAAAGTCCTGTCTGGTATTTAGTAGTGAGTATTGAGCAAGTATAGTAGGTTGTCAGCATGCTCTTAAAGAGAGTGGAAACTAGTTGCAATGAAAATAGGGGGTTGTATTTTGTTAAAGGCATATTTGGGTCATGGACAGTGAAGGACCAGATGAATGTTGAGGTACTGTAGATGTTCCTGTTAAAATTGTGATCATATTCTCCTGGATAAAAAAAATAAAGTTTAACTACAGAAATTATCAGAAGGGGAAAAATAGAATACATACGAATTGCTGGAAAGTGGATGAAGGCAAACATTTTCTGTACTGTATTGGTCGTCATAGTTTTTATTTAAAACAGCAGCAACATTCAAAAAAAAAAAAAAAAGGAAAAAGTGTATGTTTATTTTAGTGGGAGCAATTCTTTTACCATGAAGCAGCATGAGAACTTGTTTTATTTTCTTAAACTTCAGTACGTCATATCAAAACAGTAATAAGGTTTTGTTATTTCTCATTTAGTGTTGTTGAGTTTCTATAAGGATGCTGGAGTATATTTTCCTGTTCTCTTCACCTATCAACTGGCCATAGGAACTGGTAGCTAGTTGTTAAATATATTGTTTGTTTGGTGATTGGAGAATGATTTTTTTATCATAGGAACAGGAGCTGAAAAGCACAGGCATTTCACTGCAGATGGAGGAAATACCCTTGAGAGGTCGACGTTTACAAATGGTTCATGACCATTCATTCAGTTCTGGGAAAATGCCAGAGCCTCAGTGAAAGATTTGCGAGTGTAGTGTATGGTGAGCGCAAATAACTTTCTTAGGAGCTACTACTTCTAAGAAGACTAAATACATCTGCATAATAAAGCTTTTCAGCTGCTGCTGCACAATGTGTGTTTTGAGAAATGCCATAATCCCGGCAGACTTCTGAATTAGGTGCTTGACTGGAGCTTGTGGCAGTGGGTTTGCCGGGGTATGTAGTGTAAACTTCAATGTAGCCGAGCTGGTAACAGGAGACTTTTGTATTGCATGCTGGTTCACTTGAAAAGAACATTTTCTCTCTCATACATCAAGCATGCTTTTGCATTGTCACAAACATCCTTGGGATCCTCGATTTGCTTAGTTTTCAGGGTTCATCGGTGTTTTGGCCACAGTTAGTCTTATCCTGGGTTATGTGAGCATAAGAAACTGTTGACATTGCAAAGAATTTAATATTTAATCAAGGGATTGCAGACCATAGGCTGCTGCTTGTGCCATTAGCTGACCTCTTTGTGCCATACAATGCAGGAGTCTCATAACACTACAAAAAGTAGAGTACATGTTCTGAAATGACATGTACAGTGAGGAAAGGGGTGAACAATAGAGAAAAAGCCTTTTTAATTGGAATTATGCTTGAGCTGAATCTTCTTTCTTTGTTTTGGTCAGTATTTAGAGTTGCGGGCTGGTCGCATTTTGCACAAGACAGAATTATGTTCCAGAAGGATAGGATTAAAGTACGTTGTATTGGCAACAAGGAAGGAAATGGAGGGAGGAACTGTGGTGGTACTCATTTTTTCATGACACAGTGTGTTGCACATAAGTGGGTGCTAGGAGAGTATATGAAACATTTGAACTTTGCCTCTGAGTGGTAGGTGATTCTTCCCAGTCAGCCCTGCCGTGTCCAGCCTAAATCAACAGTGTTTCCTAGGAGAATCCCAATCAGATGACCGTGGTCAGGGATATATGTGCTTTCAGTAGAGCTGCCTGTGGGATGGCAGATGAAATTTGCTCGTGTCCGTGATGTCCTTTAAACTGGGCTGCTAGCAATGCATTCAATTAAAAATGCATAATTTCCTGGAAGAGCTGTATTGAAATGTCACATTCTAAAGGGATTCTTCGTGAGTGTTTGAATAGGCCAGTTATTCTTTAGTCTAAATACAAAGCTACACCAAAGTAGTTAAGGGTGATTTTGTGCAAATGTAATTTAAAATACAACCGTTATAAGTGCATATCTTTCTCTTGTGAAACCTAACCTGTACTGGCTTAAGACCTATTCTGGTTTGCAAGTATTCCCGTCAATAGAAATTAATTAGCCCTAGGAAGTTGTAGCTGTTTAACTACTATTTTTTAAAAAAAGAAAAGCTATTAATACACACTCCCCTCCTCCCCCCCCCCCCACAACCC